GAGCTACCCTCTAGAAGGGCGGGAACTTATTGCTCGTTCAAAGTCTTTTCCCAACACTCCCTCCCTTTGTGCGAGCGATCCACGGGTCCTCTCTAAGTTTCCTCTTTATCTGAAACATAACAAGAATTAGTTATCGAATAAAATTAATCTCTAACTTTGTTTAAACTCTATATTCATTATTTTATCTCTCAAATACACAAATGCTTCTAGAGGTAAAGGTTTTATCATAATGTCTGCCAAATTCTCTTTGGTCTTTATCCATTCGACTTTTACCTTCCCTTAATCAACACACTGCTTGATAAAATCTCCATGAGTGTCATCCATATGTTTTCTGTTTTCAGTTTCTTCTTTTTCTTCTAAGTCGTCATCAAACATTTTAAGTTTGTGACTTCTATCCATCTTAGTGCAGTTTCTTGCTGCTCTGTTGTCATGACTCTATAAATTTTCTCGTGCTTGGATACCAGAGTATATAGTATATATCCAGTGTCAGTATATCCCACCAACACACCAATAGCTGTCTTGTCGAATTTCGACGTAGGCTTTGGTACTCTTGCATATCCAATGCATCCGAATTTCTTTATTTGTTCAAAATGACAACTTGTTTCTGATGAAAACTTCTTCAACGGGATCTCGTACTCGAAAGTCTTATGTGGAGATCTGTTGTACGCATGCACAGCAGCGTCAACTGCCAACTCCCACATACTCTTTAGTAATCCCGAGTCGAGCATATATGTTCTTACTTTCTCTTTCAACGTTCTGTTTTCTTTAAACGGCAGTTTTGCCATCTTTGCCATTATACATACTTCACACTCTAATATAAAGTTATCAAACTTTACATTTTCTAATCTCTTTTCTACTTTTTGTAATTGTTTTAGATAGTTTAACGATGCATGACCTAATCTAACATGCCATAACATCACCTCATTTATTTTCTCTAGTTTCTTTACTTTTTCAATTATTGAGCTTTCACACATTTCTTCTATATTCTCTATTGTCTGTATATCTTCTAACTTAATGACTTGCTCGAGTTCAGCATTGTTGTGTTCTATATTTTCGTTTTCGTTCACATTTGTGAGCTCTCCTTCATTCTCCCTCCCAATCGCAGAGCCAACATTATCCCTCTCATCTAACTCTCCCTCCGAAATTGATAATTCATTGGTCTGAATGTTTGCTTGCGATTGTTCAGGAAGCTCACTATGTGGAACAATTTCTGCTCTACATCTATAAATTCCTTTAAAAACTATTTTATTTGTCAGTTTATTGTAAACTTTATACACTTTATCATCTAAATAAATACTGAACCCTGCATCAGCCAACTTTCTTAGATATAGTAAATTTTTGGATACTTTCTTTGCTGCAATTACATTTGTTAATTTAATGACTCTCTTTTCTTTTTCATTCGTTATTAGCGTAAGATCTCCTTTACCATCTATTGAAATGTTTGCAAGCTCATTTTTATTCGCGCATTTAATAACTCTATCTTTACATTTTTCAAACTTTGTTAGAATAAAATTCTTATTCACAATATGATCCGTAGCACCCGAATCTGCAGTAAAATTGACTACCTCTTTTGAACTATCTCTATCTTCTATTAATTTAACCATGTATAATTTACCTTCTTTTGATTCTCCTTCATTTGCTGTTTTCGTTGATATAGGTTTCTCAGCTGGTTGTATCTTGGTTATTTTCCCTTTGTTATCTACTCTTTTTGTGCCTTTTTGCACAAATCTACCCTTTTTCTTTATGTTTTTATTAACGGTTTTATTTAAATACCTTTTTCCTCTAGCTCTGGTACATTAATTGACACAGCCTGATAAAGTGCAGATCTAATCTCTTGTTCTGCGAGGGGTACCGCATCTTCACATGATTTATATTCTCTAATTATTGAATCGAAGCGTTCACAAAAATCACTTACTTTTTCGTCTTTTCTCATTTTAATTTGATAGAGTTTAGCTCGTACCGATGCATGAGTAACGTTTACTTCACTCTTTTTATATCCTCTCAATTTCTTCAAAATTTCTTTCGGATCTTTTTCATGTAGAATCCTTTTATGATAGTTTTCATCTAAATGATTGATTATTATATCTCTAACTAGACTTTTTCTCTTAGCAACTTTTAGTTCGGAGAGATTTTCTGGACTTTTAATGTTTGAATCTATTACATCTAACAACTCGTTATTCATTAACTCAGATTTTAAATAATCCATCCAAAGATCAAAGTTGGATTTTTGCGTCAGCTTATATTCTCTTCTAATATGCAACCTTTGACTGTTCAATTCCAATTCTATAGCTCTTTTCATTGTCTCTAAACTCCTATCTTTTTCGGCTGAACAGACTGTTATTTCATTTAATTTTCTCTTTTTAGACTCTACCTCTAGTTCTTTAACCGTTTGTTTACTGTTTTCTACTGAACTTTGGGTATCTTTATTGCTTACCTCTAAACGTCTAAGTTTAACTTTTTCTTTCTCTAAGTTTAAACGGGAGACTTCCACCATATTCTCCATCATCTCGGTGGCCTTCTTCATTACTTTATCCAGCATCTGCATCGAATTGTCCATTTTCTCAACCATCTTTTCTTGTTTCTCGTAAAGTATCTTTGTCCCTATAGGTAGTACAGGACAATTTTCAGCCCATTCTCTATTCACATCTATGTTTTCTATTATCTTTGGTTTGCCGCGTTTCGGGATTGCACCCTTTGCTTCAGTCTCCTTCTTGTCTTTTGCTTCTATACGGAATTTTGAAATTACTATTTTTATTTTCTCTGAATGCATATATATATATTATTCTTCTGGACTACTTTATTTTCAAAAAAAATACTCTCTTACCTCTATCTTTTCTTACTGTCTCCTCGTTTTTATCTTTTGCTTCTCTATCTATTACCGTGATAAAGCTGCTATCGCTGTCGTAGTCGACCAGCGCATCTTGGCCTTCTTCTTCTTCCATCTATATCGGGATTTAAATATCAACTGAACATTAGCTTTCCTCTTTTGACAAGATAAACCAACATTCGTATTGACAAATAATAATTTACAATTTCTATCACTAGATCTCTTTCAGCGATAAAAATTTAATGCTTATGAGGCTATATAGAACGCACTGCAATTCACAATAACCCCAAAGCGAGAAAACCACGTGCCTCTGCAGGGCTATCCGCACGCGCACACCACTGTCCGTTGCGATCCCCAGCACTGCTGAAAAGATCTATGGGAGCTCGGGTTGATCACGCACACGCACGGGGCCCATACAAATTTACGCGGCTTCCCTAAACAGTAATCAAGCTACACCGCACAGCAAGTCATGCTCAATTACCGACCCGATACATATCGATTTCAAAAAAAAAAACTCATATAGAGTCATATAGAGTTTTTATACATACGCATACATTTACATGTATCGCAATCTAGCCATCTAGCATACGCATACATTTACATGCATCGTAATCTAGCCATCTAGCATCGATGCCATGTTGTTAGTCGAAATCGATTATGTGTTTGTGCGTGCCCAGCAACAAGTTCTGCGCGCCAAAAACAATGACTATGTTTCCATCGAGGGTTTAAATCGGGTCAGAGTCAACCAGTTAGCCAATGGTTATGCTGGTTATAACGGAATTAACCTAATTGCAATTGTAACCAACATAGCTATTGGCTGACTTGACTGACTCTGACCCGATTTGAACCCTCGATGGAAACATAGTCAATGACTCTCGCCGTCTACGATCGGACTTCCGCGCGCCAAAAATTCCGCGCGCCAAAAGAAATGACTCTCGCCGTTCACGATCGGACTTGCACGCGCACGTCGCCGACTTGCTACCAAGCGGCATTTTTCTATCTCTTTTTCCTTCATCATTCTCTACTTCTTTATTACACTTTACACATCTATTCTCTAATTCTCTTATTACCATTATTACCTCTATTTCTATTTCTCGAGAAAAATGGCAAAAACATCTATCTCCTTGTAACAGTATTTATCGAACGAACATTCTTATTAACTGAGAATTCTCTCGTTTTGCTCGTCAGCAACGAGGAATATTATTTACTTACCCTCTAATCTTCTAGATGCTTCTATCTCTTTCTATGCCCTTCGCCGGCGTCTCACACACTTCGTATATACACTTTCGTGCTATGTTCCTCACGCAGGGGAATCGTGCCCTGGGCCCATAACCTATTGGAAATATAATCAGGGACGACTTGAAATGTGGTGAGATGAGCA